AGAGAAGACAAGAGAAGACAAAGGTTAATAGAAGAATCGGTTAAAGGAAAGACTTGAGGAAGAAGACTAGTACTTACTTACGGATAAACCACCTGCCAAATCTAACACGCCTAATTCGACTTAGCCGCCGTAGGTTACGCGAGAGTTGGATTAGAGTAGCGACAGACTCGCTGATTCCGGAATAACAATAGAAATATGTAACGTATGTGATTAATAATGTATAGTAAAAATTAAGATAATATTTGTGACTCAAAATAAATTCTTTAAAGAAACTTTACCTATAACCTATACTCATCCCAACATGAAAAGATGGTAATATTAGAATTCACTCTAACTATTAAAAAGAGATCATTTATAAAAAATCAATTTTAGAAGTTTTGCTAAGTATACATTACTTTCGTAAATTTTTTAACATATATTTTATACAAACAGCTGTATACATTACATACATACAAATTATGCAATACATACTTCTGCACTACTCGTATACCAAGGAAGCCTTTAAGTAAAATTAACGTCACTTCAAATTTGTACAAAGTGACATTCAAATTAACATTAAAATTCTTACAAAAGAAACTAAAGATAAGTTTGATTAACTATGGTCGCCTAAAATTTAATAATTCAATATCAATAATTTTAACACTATTGGGTCCATCTTAATAATATGAATAAAATAGCATTAAATTATTTAAATTGAATTACTGGATTTTAAATTATCATAATTTAATCAAACTCACCTTCTATACGATTTGAATATCACTTTGTACGAATTTAAATGTCTATTTGTACGGATTTGAATATTCTTTTTCACGAAATTAAATGTCACATTATATGAATTTAAGTGTCGCGAAGAGTATCACTATGCCAACACAATTCCTGAAAAATTTGCGTTTTGAGGCCAAATAGGAAAAATTGCATGTAGAAAGGTTAAACACATATTTGGGCTGGAGTTTAACAGAGCACTTACGGTGGTAATGAATTTAGAGTGGTTTCTCTATAGTATGTATTGGAAACAAGCGTCTCTGATATGTACTATCAAGTTCTTCAGAGATTAAATTCGGCATAGTGGTAGCGTTAAGTTTTCTTACGCACGCGCAGGTTTTCTCTGTGCATCACTAATATATAGAATAGCAAATCAAAGTACAGAGAAAGTTTCCAAATGCATCTCTCTATATACATTGCCTCTATAAATGTATTATTAAACTCCAGTCCAAATATATGCTTCACCTCCTAATACAATTTCTCTTATTGTTCTTATGGTGCACATTAACAAAAGTTTAGTCCGGTTAGAATGCATTTATGAAGATTTCACAGTACGTTGTGAAGGGTAGATATGGGGTCACCAAATCCTATACCTTAAATCACGACAAAGATTAAGGCTACACAAAAGAAGACGTGGAAGATTTGGTCCGAGAACCAAGGATCCTACTGTCACTAGGACCCCGGATTAGGTAGTGACACGAGCGAAACGGCGAGTCAGTCGCTTCTCGATCGGATATGTCGTGTAACCTACGAACGGCTTAGTCGATAAGAGGCGGTTAGATTTGGCGAGTGGTGTATTATGATCGTAGGTATTATATTGGAATGAAAGCAAGGTTTTATTATTAGGGGCAGAGTTTTATGTGGGTCACGAACAACGAATCCTTCTTCGTAGGGCTTGAAGCCTCTATTATAAACTTTCTTTTACATAAGGCACGTTATACATTCTATTCTTGATATAGCACGTATATTCATTATCCCATCTATACTAATTATAATGTCTATATAATGTCTATACTTATTATACTGATTATAATGTTCATACTGATTATTTTAATTATACCCTTGATCCCAATTTTGGAGATCAGTTTTCTCACGTATCAGTATAACGGCTGTTAATTTGTTGCTTTAGCCTTTTATAGAGGTTGATGAATTAGTCCTGACTAGAGATGGGCAAATCGCGGGATTCATTAAATCTAGGTGCCACGTGGTTGAACCTCAATTTTGATTTTTCAACGGCTGTGATCGACAAAATTTTGGCCGCATTATACATAATTTTGGCCGGAGTTTAATTTTTTAATTGTTTAAGGTTTGGGTCTGTTGTTACTAGAGATGGGCAAAGTAATTTTATACGTAATAATTACTTATGACTTATCGATTACTTAATATTAAGTAATTATTACGTTCATAATTATATATGTAATCACGGGATAACGGAAAATTAACATTTGACATTAAAGTTAGACAATATAATCGAAATTAATTGTGAGAAACCAACGTGAGGCCAGGTCCAGCTTGAGGCAATAATGCTGATTGGCTAATTTCTGATTATTAATCGAAAACTATCCAATCACCTCAAGTTGGACCTAGCCTCACGTTGGTCCTCACATTAATTAATATTAAGTTACAGCGATAAATATTTATGATGTAATTATTGGATAATTTTAAACTGGTCTATTTTTCATTTAAGAGAAAAATATCTATTGCTCTCGTTAGCAATCTAATAAATATTCAAAGAAATCTTTTTAATTGCTTGTAATAATGTCGAATTGGCCTTTACCAAGTCCAGATATTCAATGTTTGCTTCGTACACTTCCAACAAAAAGCACTGGTCATCCAATTGGTCCTCTTTAGCAGGCTTTTACTCCAGTTCCAACTAATAAAAAGCCAAAAGCAAAATGTATTTTTTGCAATCCTGATAAACCCATATCAGGTACTGCAGCAATAATGAGTTCACATATTAAAAAATGTCCAAAAACTCCTTTAGATGTTCGAACATATCTTCTTAATGCTCATCAATTTCAACAACAAAAAATGAAAATGAATCCAACTATTATACAGGACCAACAATCTGATATTCTCTCAGATGAATCAATTGTATCTTCTATGTCAAATGTTTCTACCTGATCAAATAATAATGTTATGCAGTTACCAGTTAATATATATGAAACTAATAAATTATTGTTGGAAAGTATTATAGAAGGTGGTGCACCTCTTTCTTTTGTGGATTCTACAAAATTTAGAGAGTTTGTTCATTTAATTAATATTCATTATCATGTACCGACACGAAAACAACTTTCAAATGATATTCTTAATGATGTTTATAAAAAAGTTCAAGTTTCAATTCAAAAATTTATTAGTAAATTTGAATGGATTTCTATTACGACAGATGGATGGACAAATATTCATCAAGATCATATTATAAATTATATGGTTATTGGCAAAAATCGGCAAACTGAACTTGTTAAAATTAAAGATACTTTTGGAGAAAGTCAAACTTCGACTGTTATTTTTAAAGATTTAGATGATATTTTAATACGTATTGGTCTTGAAAAAATTAATGCGATTATTACTGATGGGGCTGCAAATCATATTCGTATGAAAGTTATACTTACTCAAAAATATTCAAATATCTTAGCATTGCCATGTACTGTACATGAATCGAATCTTTTAATTAGTGATATGCTAAAGCATGAATATATGAAATTGACTATAAATTTGGCTACAAAAATTATTACTTATATGTGAAAAAGTACACAGGCTATTCAATATATTTGAGCTCGTATAAATAATCACACATTTCGGTTTTCACTTCCTACCTTTACATGATGGAATTCTTTTTTTGTATCATTACAACAAATACAAAATAAAGAACAATATTTAAAGGATATGGCATATGAAATGGAATCACATTTAGATAAAAATATCATAACTATTCTTAAAGATAATATATTTTGGCATCATTTAAGAAATATTGTTTGTATATTAAAAATTTATTTACTTATTCCTATTATCTTGGAATCCCGACAAGCTACATTTGCTGATACAGTTTATTTATAGGCATGAATGCAAATAATGGTTAATACAATAGATGATATTAATTTTCAACAATATGTTAGTACATGAATTCAATATCGTTGTGATAGAATGTATCATCCACTTTTTCTTATCTGCTGGTCTCTTCATTCTCGATATGTACGTGCAAATGCTATTTGTCCAGAACTTGCAACTGTTATCAAAAAAGAAGCAAGTTTATTATTCGAATGTCTTTTTCCAAATAAAGATATTAAAAGATTTTGAATGCAATTAATTGATTGGAATAATAAAGTTTATCCTTTTGATTTAGAAGGCAATTGGGATGATTATCTAATTAAGGATCCAGTATATTTTTGGAATAATTTTCAGGACAAAACACCTGAATTGGCATTTTTTGCTTCTTGAATTATGAGCATTCTACCAACATTAGCTGATAGTGAACGATTCTGGTCAGTAATTACAAATATTCATACATTATGACAAAATAGATTAACAAATGATAATGTTTTTAAATTAACTTGCATCCGATGGCATATGGTTCAAAAAGAAAATGATAATTTTTTTTTTTTTTTTTTTTTTTTTAGAGTGAGGCCTGGCCTCAGTCTTTATTGAACAATTTGGTATTACATTAATTAAAACGTTTTA